CAAAAAGTTATTCTGCACTGACACGCTCTTTAATTTCAAATCTGGTGGTTTTTAATAGGAATATGGGGACCAACCTATGGTACCTAGAAAATATAAAACTGGAAGACACTTCGAAAGGATTTTTTTTAAGAACATAAGAAATATACTAGGTCTGATCTGTGGTCCCACAACCAAGGATTCTTGCCAATGGTACTAAAGGGATGAGATAGGAATTCCTCCCAATGGGATGGGTCAGAATAAAGGGTAAATCAGTTGGGCAGATGAGGACGAAAACATGATCCCAGCCTCCATAACCATGACTTCAAAGACCCATGATGTCCCTTGGTCACCAGAGGGTTCACAATACCCAGGGTTTTATTTTGCTCCCTGCTATACATATGCCTGCGTTTGAACAGTTTCTGGCAAGTAAGAAGCTCCCAATTAATTATTTTTGAATCAACACAACATTACAGCATGATCATCCATGAATTTGCTTAAAGCCAGTAGCACACTAATTTACCAGTTAGGACTACTAATAAAACACACTTAAACCTTTCCCATCATGGGCCTGGGTGCCACTATGTCATTCAGGGATTCATTTATTCCTGCAACAAAAAAGCACTGACCACCTGCAATGTGCTAGGAATTTTTCTGGCACTAGAGGGGTAAAGTGGTAGATAAGACACAGAGTCCCTGCCCCTATGGTGCATCCAATCTAGTGACTCTCCCTGGCTGCTGTGGGGTGGACAGGCTATAGGGAGGAGTGGAGGGTCAAAGAGGCCAGTGAGGACACCAGTCTGGACCAAAGGTGAGATGATGAGGGCTTGGTCCTGAAAGGTTTGGTGACAAGGGAAGGATTCAGGATATATTCTGCACATTCAGAGGTTGATGGGAAAAAATCCAGGAGATGGAGGAACTGCTAAGGCAAGAGAGAGGGGATGAACCCATAGGCAAAGCCCTTGAATGAGCAGCAAAGGTTGGAACCCCAGGCACCAGTGGACTGTCTCGGACGCGGACAAGCAAAAGGGATTCGTGTAACAGATGGAAAGGTGGACAGTGTAGGTACCATCATCTTTCATAGCACCAATGTCTTCAGAAAAGGAAATTCTTATCTAAACAAAACTTTTTAGGTTGCAGGTTAAGCCCATTCTCTTCCCAGATTAAGAAATATATGTTCATTGCATTTAGAAATTTCAGAAAATGTGTAATTTCACCATCTAATGATAACTATTATAAACTTTGTTGCTTTTCATCCCTAAATGTTCTCTGGTCACCTATCTAATTTATTCTGTCATTGGGTTCATACTGTGTATATAACTCGACATTCTGCTTTTCTCAGAAGCATTCGTCCTATGTTGCACTCACACGTTTCTCAGTTTAATGGAAAGACTGACTTGGAGTCAGCATTGTGTTTGAGTCCCAGCTCCGCCACAGACAAGCCTTCAGCTTCCTATGCCCCTTCACTGCTCTGGCCTTCAGGACAGCTCTGGTGACCTCTGGGTCCTTGCTCCCGGCATATTCCGACCTCCCTGGAAGGGAGGGTCAGTCTCCATCACCAGCCTCTCTTCCACACACACCTGGACAGTTCTGCCTCAGTCATGTTCCCATGCTGCATACTCTCCCTGGATCAATCCACATACCCCTTGGTTTAAAGCTGCTTTGAGACTAGTACTTTCTCTGCACGAGCCAGTGCACACCTCTTCTCTCTACCTGTATGCACTTCTTCCCACAAAGCTGCTCCTGTTTATGTGATTACTCAAGTACCATGCACCTCAGTACTCTGCCACTGTCTTCTAACATCTGACCACTCGTGTGCATTCTACCTCCTATGTCTACCTCCTCTGACCCTCTCAACCCTCCTCATATACAAACATTTTACCTTCTTTTCTGCTTCACTCTACATTATCTAACCCCACCCCATACCTCTTTTATCTGCCCTGCTACTTCTCTCCACTTCTTTCCACAAACTCATACTGGGCTTCCTGTGCCCCAGGGCCTTTGCACTCTGTTTCCTCTCCCTGAACCACTCTTTCCCCAGACTTTTGTGTCACTTGTGTTTGTCTCTCCTCAGATCTCTGCTCAAATGTCATCTTACCAAAGAGGCCTTTCTTCATTCAATGTAAAAGCAAATTACAACACCCAGCCCCTGGTACTCTTATTTGTTTAAGCCACAAACTCTCCCAGGGCAAAATTTTGTTCACTGTTGTATTCCCAGGACCCATAAGGGGCCTGGTATATTTATTGGCATTCAATAAATATCTACAGAATAAATATTTTTGAAAACATACAATCTTAGAGATTGTTTCATATCAATATTACCAATAGACAGGGACTGCCCCCCGTCTTTTCACTGGCTGCATGGGAAGCCAGTGAACGGAGGAACTGTTTTCCACATTTAGGTTATTTCCTATCGTTTATCATTAGAGTGGCTTGCTCATGCACAAGCTATTTATAAGGTACACTTCTAAAAGAGAATTGCAGGATCAAAAGTATACATTTTCAATTTAAGAAAGAATGCCAGATTGTCTTCCATAGAGATTTATGCAATGTATTCCCCTTTCAGCCATAAATAGAGACTATTTCTCCACACATTTGTCAATATAACCTCTTGTCAAACATTGTTGTAAAATCTCGGCAAAGAGGATAGTAAAAAATAGCATCTCCATGTGTTTCCATTTGCTTTTTCTAATGAGTTTTGTTTTTTGGTTCTGTTTTGATTGATAGTCTCTCTTTGAGTATTATGAAAATTTACTTCATTCCCTTTGATTTTCCTCTTCTATGTCCTTCTGTACATCCTGTAATCCAGCCATTCTCAACTACCTGCTATGGCCCGCATGGGCCACATTTTGGAAAATGCCCATTCCTTCCACCCCTAGTCAAGTTCAAAGGCATTTCACTGCTTATGGAATGCTCCTGAATTCCTTTCATAGGACTTAATCCCTCCTTTCTCAGGGTGACCAGGGCACATTTTTAGAGTTTTGTAATAGCATCATTTCACTGTGCTGTGTACATATGTAAGCTTCTCATAGTTCAAGACTAAAGTCTTCATCTTAGCATCCCTCATGATGTCCAACAGATCCACTCCATTAATGTGGAGTGAAAGACTGAATTAGAAATAAAGACTGTGAATTTTAATTATAAATGTTCTTTAAACTCCCAAACCAGTGTTGTAAATCCAGTGATGAAGGTAATGAAATGAAGTGAAGGCCTGGAGACTTGTTCTTGGGCCTAAAAGTTCATATCACAACTTAATAAATGTTAATAAAATCTTTTTTTGAGTTTTTTTACTTAGTGTTGTTTAACACTGAAATTGTGGCTGTGACTTAAATGACTAAAGAACATAACAAAGATCAAAGTACTTTCTTAATGCAAGGTAATGCTTTCTTAAAGCAAGCTAATGACCCATTAACTTAGGAAAAGGTGATCAACTTCTTAGCTAATCAAGGAAATGCAATTTTAAAATCACAAGACACCACTAAGCCTCCAACAGAATGGCTAAAAAGAAAAAGCCAGACAATGCCAAGTGTGAATGTAGATGAACTAGAACTCGTATACCGCTGGAGGAAATTGGCACAACCACTTTGGAAAAGGGGGTAAATCAACAACAGCTACCCACATGCCAATGCTGTGCCCCAGAAATTGTACTCCTGGGTACACAGTCTGTAAAGACACAGGTGTTCACCGGAAGCTATGTACAAGAATGTCCACAGCAGCATTAACTGTAACAGCCTAAAATCAGAAACACACAAATGTTTGTCAATAGTAGAATAGAAAAATAAATGTTGGTATTCATACAATGGAATTCCAACAGCAAAGAGAACAAACAAGCTACAACATCACACCAAAATATGCGTGAATCTCACTGATCCAAAGAGCAACTTAAATACAAAAACAGGCAAAGCTAATCTGATGGTGTTACAAGTCAGGGGACCCCCTTTGCAGTAGGTATAGGGACTGGGGCCAATATAAGGAGGCTTCTAAAGAAGGGGAACTCTTCTGTTTCTTGATCTGGATGCTGATTACACACACGTTCATATTATAAAAATTCATTCAACTACATTTGTGCTTTGTATCTTTTCCTGCATGTGCATTACACTTCAATGAAAAGTTTACCTAAAAGAAAAGAAAAGCAATAGGCCTAATCTCCAAAGGAAAACACATTTTTAAAAATACCTTTCATGAATAAATGTTTTTAAATGTCATAATGAGTATTAGCCACTTGCAAACCCAACTGCTTTGCACTGTTTGACCCAAGAGCCTACTACAAAAAAAAAGACCCCAGAGAAAGGAATTTTCTATTCCTGAAGTAATGCAGAGGCCACAGATGGTGTTCACAATTGTTTAAGAAAAACAACAGCCACAAAAAGGAGGTGACCAGAGGCCATCAGCTATAGGGAACAAGCCACAACTGCAGAAAAAGATGAAAAGAAACAAAACCTTCTTAAAATTATAATACCAAAATAGCAATTATGCTTAAATAAGCCTTCTGTTGAGCTACTAAAAAAAACCTATTTATTCTAATGCAGATATGTGCCTCAGTGCCCAGGTTCCCTCCCAATACTATTTTAAAACACTGCACAACAGACAAAGAAAGAGAGAGTGTCATGCGAGTAGTAATTAATGGCAAGTGCAGGTGTCTGAACAGAGGGAAACCGAGGGAATGAAACACAAACCCTTCCACCTCATTAGTCTTCTAAAAATATTCTCGCAATACAAAGGCATGCCCTGCTGACGTGGCATTTAAATGAATGAGAAACCTAATCAAAATGGGTTTTGTGACTCTTAACCATAGCCCAGATACAAATACTTTGGAGATTTTAAAAAAGGGGGAAAAATTGATGGTACAACTAGTCAAGCAATGCTTCAAATAAGCATAGAAATGGACAAAATAAAATCAATATACATTAAACTCAGTTATCTGTGCCAATGGAGGCAGATTTTTAAAAAATCTTTTCTATTGCGCAATGAAATATAGAAATAACAGACACTTGGGAGACTGATGAACAGACCCAAATACTTACCTTCTTATGAACTTGGCATTAATTCATTTTTAACTTGATCTCAATAGGACTCAAGAAGCAGATGAATGGAAAAGATGTAAAGTCTTGGCAACCATCAGAAGGAGGTGACTTTGCAGCCAATTTTCAACGTCCTGTTGTAAAAGGAGATACCAAAAGGATGAGTAACTGAAACTCACAGCTAATCCATCACAGTTCATGTCGGTCATGTACAAAACTGGTTTTGCAGAACTATCACCAAGTAAGGAGCCCTTATAGAAAGAAATAAGAAAAATTATGCTTTTGAGGTTTTACTGTTCCCGTGGCCTTATCTCGCCCACCTTCAGGCAAAGGTGCTAATAAACAGTGAAATTTTCAGAAGGCAGGTAGCAACAATGAAAACAAGCAAGAGATCTGAATAATCAAACTTTCAATTAATTTTTTTAAAAATCTGGAACTAGTAATTCTTGGCTCACGTAATGATTTTTTGAAAAATTGTTCTCCCTTACAGAAGTAACTATTTGAATTAACCACTAATGACCTGAGCTAGGAATGGCATTAAGGGGAAAAGGAAGATGGGAATTACCTCCTTTATCAAAACAGGTTTATTAAAGGGATCTAATGCTGACAGTTCAGCCAAAACCAAACATAAATTGTCTAACACTAACCTGGTTAAACAGGTTTAAAGAGAAGATCACCATCATCTAGCCAAGAATAATTGAAATTAGCAATAAAAACAGCAACAAGAAGACTTGCTGAGGGCCTAACAAGGGCTGACAGTCGGGTTAGTACATTAATCAGAGAATAACTAAGAGGCCTCGCTAGAAGAACTCGCAGAATGAAGACGAAATAAATGCATGGAGAGCATCCGAGCGGAGCATGTACGCACTCATCACGTGTCTACCGCGAGTGCTCACAACACTGTAAAAAACGGGTATCCACCATTTTTGTCCAGCCAACTTATCCTTCTGCATCCAGACCCTCAATCTTTCTGTGAGATGCCCTGGCCCCTGCTGGGCCAGTGACAGCCCTAATGGTTTTCAAAGTGAGGGGCATGACCAAAGGCAGGGACAATCAGAAGCAGCCTTCATCTGCAGAACAGCAGCAGTATGTAGGAAAAGGCCTGGAGCTGGTGAGAGGCACTCACATAGAGAAAGCCTGGCTGACAGTGAAGCCAGAAGACAGGCTGGAGATGGCAAGAAACAAGGCCCCGAAGACATGATTTCAGTCCCTAGATCCAGCCATGCCAGAAACTAGACCTACTCTTAGACTTTCCAGCAACATAAGCCAATAAGTTTTCTTTTAAATTGTCTTTGAGCTGGATGGGTTTCTGTTACTTGCAAACAAAACATGCTAATACACCACTGTTGCTGTATTCCTTCAAAACTGTTTATAGGAATAATTCTTCAGCCAGAGCACTCACCCTCAATTATTAAAAAATCAAAAAATATCTTTTGAAATGGAACATCTGAGAAGTAGACATGAAATAAGTCTGTTCTTTCTTATTCCCTGCATCTACAGACCTTTTGAAGACTGAATTATTTCCTCCCACAAAAGAGAATAAGCTTCTTGGTGTAACTGATTAGTCACACCACATCCTAATACTAGGTTCTTTGGGCCTTTAGAACACCAAAACCCGATGTGTTCAGCTCAGTCTTCATGGCAAATCCCAAGAATTCATAGGATGTAGTAGAATTTGAATTTTTCAGCTTATATTCACTTCACTCCACCTCCTCCATTAAAAGGAGGGAAACCCAAATAAAGAGTGCGTGGATTCTACGAGCCTCTCTCTGACCCCACAAAACAGAGGCCAGTCATGTGATCAAACCACAGTTACAAAGTGCTGATGTCGGCCATCAAACCTGTGTGTTTTTAGTGTGCTCACCATTCCAAAGCCATATTCTGATAGGAAAACACAGACTGGCCACAAGAACCCACCAGGATCTAGCCCATACTCTCTGTCCCTTTTTGCTGGGATCTGTCCTGGGTAGACAGTAGCAAATCCAGTCGAGCTTGCACCTGATTACCTGGGCACATTTGGGTGAGGGGAGGATGCTGAGCCAGGTTCTAAACGGCAGAATGTTCCAGCATAAACTGGCAGAAAAGACACAGGACTGGAAAGAAGCCCAGGGGACAGAGACCTGGACCTGCTCAGGCCCTGGCTTTGCAAACAACTGCGTGTGACCTCACATAAGCCATTTCACCTTTCCAGGTGCCAATTTCCTTAGTTTTAACATGTGACAGATTAATGTTTTCCACTGTGGGTAGTGACTCAGGGAGTGGACGGTGAAATCAAATCAGTGAATTGAGACCAACCTTAAAAATATGATTCTAGGACTGAGATGGAAATTATACCAGGTGAGTCTACAGCATCTTGTAGTGCCAGAAAGTGAGGATGTACTTCCAATACAGACAATGATGGGCTTATGTTAAAGGGACGCAGGAGTCAACTGAAAAAGCTCCTTCCAGTCAAAGCTGGAAGAACTGGAACACTGACATAAATAAAGGGCTATTGGATTATAAGCCAAATAAACATCCAGGAATCCATAGTAATATAAATACTGATCGACTGAATAAATAAATCAATGAATGGGGGAGGATAGACAAACCTACAGGCAGAACAAAATAACCTATGTAGATACTCTGCCCTTGAGCTGGGTCATAACTCCTCGTTCCTTCAGTATGGGCTGCACGCAGTGGGCTGGGGAAAGAGTAACTTCACAGCACAGTAACCTGATGAACACTAGCTCGGCCAGCGGACCAAGGTCAACATCAGCATGGATACGTCAAGTTGGCAGGATGTACACTCAACATGATATGATGAAAATGGCATTACCTCTGTGGTCTTCCCCTCCAAAACCCACAACCCTAGTCTAATCATGACAGAAACATCAGACAAATAAGGGACATTCTGCAAAATACCTGACCAAACTTCCTCACAATTGTCAAGGTCATCAAAAACAAGGAAAGCCTGAGAAATTGTGACAAAGAGACGTGATGACTAAACATAACGTTGAACCCTGGATGGGATCCTGGAACAGGAAAGGGACATTTAGGTAAAAACTAAGGAAATCTGGATAAGGTGTAGACTTGCACTAATAGTACTATATCAGTATTGGTCCCTTTAATTCTGTCAGATGTACCTTATTACTGAAAAGTAGTAGTTATAGGGGGAATGATGGGTGGGGGCGTATGGGGACTCTCGTTATTATCTTCACAACCTTTTCGTAGATCTAAAATTGTTCTAGCCCTGGCTGGGTGGCTCAGATGGTTAGAGCATCAACCCATATGCTCAACCCAAAGACTGAGGGTTCAATCCCCAGTCAGGGCACATACCTGTTACAGGTTCCATTCCTAGTCAAGGTGCGTATGGGAGGCAACCAATCGATGCATCTCACATCAGTGTTTCTCCGTCTCCCCACTCCCACTTCCTCTCCCTAAAAGTCAATAAACATATCCTCAGGTGAGGATTACAAAAAATTATTAAAACTGTTCCAAAATGATAAGCTGTTTGAGTATAAGCTGAAAGGTGGTTAAAACAAACTGTTATCAGAGCGCATGACCTCTAAGCTTTCCACTACCTTTAAAGATGAGGAACACAAAGGCTACCCTCAGGCCACAGTAAGAAAATCCAGATGCAAGTCTCAGCTCTGCCATTTGAAATCCCTTCCCCGCTCAAGGTCCTCAGCTGGATTTTCCCCTCTGATATAACAAGGCTAGTCCCTGTCCTGCCCACCTCTCAAGCTTTTGCTTTGTTGTGAGAGGTAAAGTATATTGAAGTGATTTACAATTGTGGAAATGCTATGTCAAATATGGAGGTTATGATAACCAGAATTCCCTAGTTCTTCCCTGAATCAGAGTGGACTCGGGCTGGTGGAGGGAAACTGAGTCTCTTGCCTACTGAGCTGGTGCTTGCATTCTCGAAGGGGTCCCTGAACCAGCAGCGTCTGCATCACCTGTGGACTTGTCAGAAACACAGAATCTTGGGCTTTACTGCAGACCCGCCAAATCAGAAGCTCTGGGGTGGGGGCCAGCAATCTGTGTTTTTATAAGCCTTGCAGACAATGCTACTGAAGTTTAGACCCCCGCCCCCCAGAGAAAGCCATCGGGGACTGCCATTCTGTGAATCCCATTTGAAAGGGCCACGCTCCTCCGGCTGGCTCCCTGCCCAGCTAGCAATCACATGGCTCTCGTGTCCTCTAGAACCCCCTTCACATCTATTAATACTTGGCTCATTCTCACACAACTCCTCTGAGAGAGAGGAAGAGGATATGGGAAAGTTCCTGATATGCCAAACCTCTGCATGAGTTAACCAGCCAGAGCGAGCCCCAAGAAGGTGGTTATTTTGCCCAACGAATCTGCACAGTTCTTAGCCATGAAGCAAAATCGGGTTATCTGTCAGAACAACACATCACACATTTTACAAAGGCCCACATTCCAGCATCCTGTTCTTCTGGTCACCCAGCATTTGTCAGATAAAGGCATCTCAATCTATGGATCAGAAAAAGGCATCTTATATAATCAGCCACCTACACCCACCTACCACATCAAAGTACAACCTGCAGATGCCGGAGAACAAAAGAGGCTTTCAGGTCCTTAATCAAGAAACAAATGATGCAGAACTGAGAGTAACAAACAAACTGGAATGCTATTTTGGCCAGAGATCAAAGACTAGAAAAACAGGAATTACAAGTCAGGAGTATAAGCTGGTCGGCATAAAGAAGTCCAGACAGACCTTTTTCTGAACCATGTTTGGGCCACAGTTATTGTTATTTTCCTCATGTGCTGTTTCCTCACATCTGACGCCTCACTATTGGTATTATTCCTAATGGCTCGCATATGACAAACTTAAGACAACAATAGTCTAGGGACAGAATGCATTGAAAAGCTAATCGGGGTGAAATTTTATACTATTGGTACACATGTGTAGTTCCATGGTTAGAGGACTGTGGATACATGCTCAGTGTCTCATGTGTGTGTTGTAAAGAACATTACTTCTATAACTCATATATAAATCATACACACAAAAATATTCACCTCCACTTTCCTGATTCCCTATTCGCTGTCTTCTGGAAAACAGAATCTCCAGCCTGTAATTTATTGACAGATAAAGTGAAAAAAGATGAACAATACATGACCACAATAGGCAAATTTA